TGGTCGACTATTCTGGGGATGGTGAATCCCGGACAAATTCAGAAGGATGGGAAACGTAAACCGGAGTTGAGATTTCCATCCAGATAAGTCGTCGTCGTCTAAGAGTGGTAAGATGCATGGATCCAATGTTGATTGAGATCCGTATAATGGCGAAGAGTCCTCACGTGCTGTAGTGAGAGAGTGAAATAATCCGCTTACCCGTAGAACGATCCTTTTCCATGCCCGACCTGTCGAGGTTCGTGGAGGGGTTTCTGGTCTATGCACCACCTACAAGATAGGGTATAACATAGTGAGACCCCTAGGTCCCTGCGCCCCTGACTGTCCGGGCACGTACCTCCCAGAGTAGTCCCCAGGTCAAGGGACCCAGGAATGTGAGTTCGATAACCGAAGTCAAGGTCTCCCTATAGAGGGATACATCCCTTCTTAGCTTGGAGTCCCGCGAACACATAGTGTTCTCCAATACGCAGGCAAGGTGTAAAGTCCCTTCGCTCACAACAGGTGACTCCAGAGAGCAGATATAACGTACAAAACAAGGGTCTAGCTTCAACCGTCTGAATCATGTGATGTCCCAATTGAGAATGTCGGTAGCCCTATCTGAGTCTGCTACATATCCTGAGCAGTACCCCGGCAGTAGATTGCGACCCAACTTTGACGTCCGTGTAGGAGTCGAGGCACCCCGGGTTCCTCTATAGAGTCTCGTAGGTCTCCTCGATGGTAGATGAAAAGTTGGGTTAGCGAGAAACCAAACCAAGACGGCTTCCGTGAGGGATATAGAGTATAGACGGAAGGCCCTCCATCCCCGAACCATGTTCTCCAGATATGTGCTCAGAGGAGTAGGGGTGGTCCTGTCATCTTATAACAAAATTGTAATGACCAGGGGACTCAAGTCAACCGGGGTTTCTGGACTTTCCATGCATATGGAGTACCTGCAGGCCGGGTAGAAGGCCTTCCTTAGTCTTGTTACCCGAGCAAGGCAGTGCCTGTTTGCTCCATGAAGGTCCCAATATCTCACGTCATCTTGATCTGGGAAAAAATGTCTGCGCAGTTTGTTGGCAATGGTCCAGATATCTAAAACAGAATGCAATTGACTGTTTTCTATAGCGCAGAATATACCAAAACCTGCACTCTTGTATACCTGAGTCTCATGCGTAAGCCGTACTGTAGTAGATAATTTACTGCAAACCAATTAGTTTGAATGACTATCTGTTCCTGTCCAAATTAAAGATAATAAAGTTGCGTGCACGCAGAAGTAAATTCACACTGAGACACAGAGTTCAGGTTAATGAAAGAACTTCGGAGAAGTTTAATGGCTTCTGACAGAAAATGGGTGCGCAGACCCTTTTAAAGGCATTATTACATCATTGAAGAAAATCAAGATATAGACAAATAGACATTGTTAATTGGCTTAGGTGCTAAGATGTTAGTAAAATGCCCTCCCTATGGGGTGTACCATCTTAAGTCACTATCTTCGTCATGCTTTTTCTCCTCCAGGTTTTAGCGCCATTTTGCTAACATGAGGAGCTCACTCGACGGGAGGGGCCTTTTGGCAGCTATCCATTTAGAGCGTAGCTGGCACTTGTTAGTTTCTCAAGGTTAGGTTTCAAGGCTTTTAGTAAATACACATTTTATCAAAGCTATTTCTTGCTGACATGCAAATTCTATGTTCTATAGACAAAGCTTTCTTGTAAAACTATGGGGGCCTCTTAGAGGTATAGCAAGAGGATTTAAAGGGGCCTTACAGATTTATAGAGGCCTAATAATTCTACAACAGTCCCCCCTAAAATGTTATTTGCTAAAAGACAAAACTTTATTTGTTAGTATCAGAATATGTGTTAGCCCAAAGACACAGAAACCCCATGACCGCTGACTTAGTGTTAATGCAAAGTGCAAGTCTATCCCTCTCTTGACCCTAACAGGCTGCAGCACATCCGTCAGTACGGTTCAGGAACACTCTTCACTCCGCTGGTAACCCATAGTGGCTTATCCACTACTTCTCCGTACGGCAGTCTACCCATAAAGACGGACGCTGTCCCTGTACTGTCCCTTCCTAGACTTTCTGCACTTCATCAGTATACGGGAGAGTTTGTAGCGGAATACAGGGTGAGATGAGATCTTGATCATAGATTGTCAGATGAGTGAAGGTTGGTGTTGCTTGGTCTACAGTTTTCTGCAGGAATTTCCTTAGGCATGGGAGGACACAACAAATGAGAAGAGCGAGAATAAAAAGAAAAATTAGTAAGGCAATACCAATCTGGACTAAAGCTCTCTGCCAACCAGTCATCCAACCAAACCATTTTTCCCAGGGATCAGTAACTCCAGAGTTTCTCTTTAACTCTTCTGAGAGTCTATTTAATTTAGCTATGGCCAGAGTGACTTTACCATTAGGACCTGTGTTTTCTGGAATGTAAGTGCAACAAGTCATAGTGTCGGGAAGTATTTTACAGACCCCCCTTTTTCGGCTAAGATCATGTCTAAGGCCAGTCTGTTCTGGAAGGTCATTTGGGATGTGGCCTGTAATTGCTCGGCCAAGCCCTGGAGGGCATCTCTGGTGTAGTTCACGAAGCGCTGTTGGTTGTAATAGATATAATTAATCCAATTAAGGTTTTTGTTGGCAGTGACTATGGTAAAAAGTGATTCAAAACCTGCAGCTACTTCATCTCTAGCTTTAAATTCATTAGGTACCCCCCTAGGTACCCCAATGGCATCTATGTAAATATGGGGGTCAAAACTGCCTTTTACTGGGGTTTCGCGCCTCACTCTGGCTGGTGTATGTGGAGGGTCGTACGTGTCATGATGATTATCAGAAATAATATGAATGGGCATGATAACTTTGGCTAGGGTACACTCACCCCACCACTCAGTTTCCAGCCTAGATCTTAACTGTAGATCCCCACATAACCAGTAAATATCCCCCAATGACCTGGTATGGTGTTGCAACAGGCGTATAGGAACAGTTCTGTAAGTGGCGCAATAACCTTTAGAAAAATTACCCATGAATTTACCAATCCCGTCATACATGGCATAACAAGTGTAATTACCTCTATAGACTGTGATTCCATCTGGTGGCTTAACATTTTCAACTAAGAGAGGGTACTCTGCCGTCCATGCCATGCAGAGGGACCTATTAAAGTCATATTGGTAGGCAAAAAGGCTTAAGAAGCAATCTTCTATCTCTAAAGGGAGAATTAGGGGGACGGTGCCAAGGTGGGGTCGGGCACCGCCACATACATAACATGCTGTCTTATTATGTTTGTTGGCATTATACCTCATCCATTCTAACCACAAATTAATGTCATTGAATCCAGTTTCAGCGGCCATGGTATCTTCAAAAGTGGGGTTAGCGATGGCCATCATATCTTTAAAGGACTGGATATGTGGTTTTAGCGGATTTGGGACCCCTTGCCACTCTGGAGAGTGGTACATATCTCTGAGGTAGAAATGACCTAATTTGTTGTAGGAACCTTTCCTCCAATACATTCCCATTACATATCGGTCTGCATCCTCGGGGCCAGGATGTTCAATATTTAACATTAATTTCATAGGGGTACTTCCTCCAGGCTTTCTTAAAGTCATTCTTTGAAGGAGGGATCTACCCTGATTGTCTATCTTAGATAAAGCACTTTTGGGTTTATAACCCCAGGCAGGCCCAGTATTCCATCCCGCAGCCCCCCAGTAGTTACAGTCATAACCCCATTGTTCATCTACTACACAAACGTAAGGGTCTTTTGCTTGTGGTATATCTTTATAAATGGCTTGAATCTGTGACTTAGGGAATGGGCATTCTACAATATCACAGTAATCAAAAGTGAATGTAGCCACATGGGTACATGATGAATTATACCAGAAAGTGTACCCACTAGCATCTTTGGTGATGGCCACCTGCTGGGCTTTAAGGAGGCCAACTAAGGAGATAATGTACCAGAGGCACATGATTGCATAGAGTTAGCTTCCTCTGGGGCAGGTGTCTTCTTGCAATGGGAAGCGTGGATCCAGTTAGGCCTTCCGGCCAATTTGACAGAGGTAGGGGAGATCAGGAGAACTTGGAATGGTCCGTCAAATCTTGGTTCCAGGGTGTGTTTTCGCACAAATTTCTTGACCAGAACCCAGTCACCGGGGAGCAGACTGTGGTTGCCTGTGTCAGAATCAGGATCTGGAATTGAAGAGAAAACTTGGGCATGGATTTTGTTCAAAGCATTGGCAAGTTCAGTTACATAGTTTACTAAAACATCAGTATGAAGTTGTAATTGCTGGGGAAAATAGCAACCTAGCCTGGGTGCTGACCCGAATAGAATCTCGTAAGGGGACAATGAGGGCTTCCCTCTGGGTGTATGTCTGACACTAAACAGGGCTATTGGCAAGCTTTCGGGCCAGGGCATTTTTGTTTCTTGCGACATTTTTAGCATTCTAGTTTTCAGGGTGCCATTCATACGCTCCACCTTACCACTGCTTTGTGGGTGATAAGGTGTGTGAAAGGCAAGGGTCACTCCTAGGGCGGCCCAAATCTCTTTGGTTACTGATGCTGTGAAAGCTGGGCCTTGGTCACTTTCAATGACTTCTGGTAGTCCAAACCTACATACAATTTCTGTAAGTAGCCGTCTTGCTGTTGTTTTTGCGGTGATGTTAACCACTGGGTAGGCTTCTGGCCAGCCTGAGAACATGTCCACTATTACTAGTGCATATTCGAAGTTGCCACTCTTTGGCATCTGGATGTGGTCTATCTGAATTCTTTGAAACGGGTACATGGGCTTGGCCAAGTGTTTTGGAGGGACTTTAGCCATTTTCCCCGGATTGCACTTGGCGCAGATGACACACGTCTTGCAGTAATTGCTGGCTAGCGTGGTAATTCCAGGGGCCTCATAGTACTTCTGTACAAGGGCAATCATCAAATCTTTTGATAAGTGTGCAGGGCCATGTGCCCACTGAACAACTGCTGGGTATAGATTCTTAGGAAGGCAGAATCTGAGATTGTTGTAATACACTCCATCTCTTAGAACTGCCCCTTTCTGTTTCCACTTCTGTATTTCTTCAGGGGCAACTGTAGCCTGTTGTTCCCGCAGGATTTTCAGGTCAGTTGGAAGAGTCTGCAGAGTAAATATGGGAGTTTCTTCATTTCCGGACACTCTTCTTTCCACTTCCTGTGGTTCTTTTGCAGCTTGTTTTGCAGCCTGATCAGCTAGATGGTTGCCCTTTGCTTCATCTGAGTCCAACTTCCCATGTGCTTTTATCTTCAAAATAGCCACTTCTTCTGGGAGTAGGAGGGCGTCCATCAGCTCCTTGATTGCGGAACCGTGCTTGATTGGTGTACCGGCGGTGGTAAGAAATCCTCTTGTTTTCCAAATTAATCCGAAGTCGTGAGCCACGCCCAGTGCATATCTTGAATCCGTGTAGATATTGGCGCGCTTTCCTTCAGAGATCTTGCATGCTGAAGTCAGGGCTTGCAATTCAGCTTCTTGTGCAGACATAGTTGATGGTAAAGATGATGATTTGACAATTTCATCTGTTGTGGTTACGGCATATCCTGTATGGTATCTTCCTTCTTCATCAGCATATCTTGAGCCGTCCACAAACAGGGTGAGATCGGGATCTACCAATGGGTCTTCATGCACAGTTGGTAGATGTGTTGTTTCCATTTTCATCTGTTCAAAACAGTCATGAGGTGTATCTGGGTCGTAGTCATTCACTATGGTTAAATCTTGGAACTCATTTTCCAGGAAATGACGTGGCCATGCTTTTAGGTGGTCAGTTGTTGGATATTTGACACCATTTTCCTGTAGCTGTGATTCGTCCATAGTGGCCCATGCTTTTGCCATAGGCCCAAGATCATTCCATGATATTGTTTTCAACTTGGTCACAGGGACATGTGGAATGGCAGTGTCCCAATGACGGTACAAATGCTTGAGTTCCGGAGGTAGATGAATCAAGACCATACTGTTGCCTTCAGAATCACAGTAGAAGTCTTGTGCAGTGAGTTTTACTTCGACCAGATGATAGAGTTCATCTTCATAGCAGGGTTCAGGAGTGATGTTTGGTTTGTACCACATGGTACAGAAGGCATATCCTGCTCCATCATGAAGGAGTGCTTGTCCATCATGAAAGGATAGGTTGGGATGCATTTCCTTCTTGATGGTGCCAGTGAGGAGAAAAACATAAGTTTCGTCCATGATGAATCCGTAGTATACACCCCCCTCAGGGAGTGGCAGAAGAGTGGACGGATTGAGAACTTGACATCTTTGAAGGGTAATGTTGTCAGGCAACAAAAGGTGACATTGAAGGCGAAGATGCCTAGCAGGAGTAACATGCTTAAGTTGGACCTGGTTGACTATGGCAGAAATATCATGAGGGGCCAAGACAACCAGGGGGTGGCCAAGGACAAGATCCCCAGTTCTTTCAATGAGCTCTCTGGCAGCAAAGACGGCCCGAAGGCAAGAGGGACGTCCTCTGGCCACAATATCCAGTTGGCAGGAGAAAAATCCAATAGGCCTTTGGCGACCTCCAGGACCATGGGCCTGAGTGAGTACTCCTGTTGCATGGCCTTGTCTTTCAGAAACAAACAATTTGAAGGGTTTGGTATAGTCTGGTAGGCCAAGAGCAGGAGCAGAAGCAATAGCACGTTTGAGAGAACAGAAGTTGTCAAGGGCTTCTGTGAACAAGCAAAATGGGTCTGACTTGAGAGCATCATAAAGAGGTTGCATAAGGAGCGAGGCTTCAGGGATCCATGCTCGGCAATAGGAAATGAGGCCTAGGAAGGCGTGTAGTGACTTTGAGGTCCTTGGAGGTGGAATGTCCAGTACTGCTCTAACTCGGTCACGAGTGAGATGTCTGGTTCCCTGAGACAGACAATGGCCAAGGAAGATTGGCAGAATTGCAGCTTGAGACGTGAAGCTTTACATCCTTGTTCTGCTAGGTAGCAAAGAAGATTAATTGAGCATTGTTCTGTTGTGGGTAGATCATCTCCACAAAGCAGCAAATCATCCACATATTGAAGCAGGACGACCTCAGGATGGTCAGATTGCCATGGATCAAGGATAGAGCACATGGCCTTCGCAAATTGACTTGGTGAATTTTGTGCCCCTTGGGGCATGACAGTCCATGTGTACTGTTGTTTTTCATGTGTGAAAGCAAACAGATATTGGCAAGTTGGATCCAGGGGAACACTGAAGAAGGCATTGGCCAGATCAATGACTGTGAAGTACTTGGCAGAGGGTGGAACGCCGGAAAGGAGAGTGTGTGGGTTGGGCACTATTGGAGTGTCCAAAACTGTGGCTTCATTTACCGCTCTGAGGTCTTGGACCAATCTGTACTTTTCAGGTTCGCCTTTTGGAGTCTTTTTCTTTACCGGAAATAATGGAGTATTGCATGGTGATTCACATTTGACAAGAGCACCCTTCTCCAGGAGTGCTTGAATTTGAATTGTAATGGCTGCAGCTTGAGCTGGTTTCAAAGGATACTGTGATTTTCGTGGCAATTTTGCTCCTGGGATGAGCTTTACCACCACAGGTGGGACCTTTAGATGGCCTATGTCCTCTGGGCCCGTGGACCACAGTTTCTTGGGAACATCAGTCTTTAGTGAATCAGGGAAATTAGTCCTTAGGTCTTTTGCATCCCCATGAGGCTCTTCTAGATGTAGCATCAGGGGTAAGGAGCACAAAGCTGAGGTGTCTGAGACAGATAGAGGGGTGGATAGTTCCACTTGTCCATCTGGAGTAAAGGTGATAGATGCCTGCAGGCGTGAAAGAACATCAGCTCCTAAAAGGTTAATGGGGCATGTGGAAGATACCACAAAGCGAGCAAGCAAGTTGTGGCAGTTACCAACCCGCAGTGGGGTGGACAGGGGACTTTGCCTTGGAAGGCCATCCACCCCAACACAGGAGACATCAATATTGGAAAGAAATGAGGTATCGGGCAGGTCTTGTTCTCTCAGAACACTTCGGGCTGCACCTGTGTCAACTAGGAAAGTGGTGGGCTGGCCCTCAATGGGTAAAATTACAGTAGTTAGAGGCCCCCCTTGTTCCCCTGAAGACACTGCCATAACAGGGGTTAATGACACAGGCTTGCTGGTGTCCTAGTCTTCTTGGGCTGAATTAGGTGAAGGGGTTTCTGGGGCCTTCGTGGTAGTGGCGGGCTTGGAAGTTTGTTTGCCAGCGTATGGCCTCCGGTGTTTTATGGGTTCAGGGCAGTCACTTCTAAAATGGCCCTTCACCCCACAATTAAAGCAAATTCCATCCTCAGGCCTAGTGCCTCTGGGAATCGGCGGGCGTGATACCATAAGGGGGGTGGGATTGGATCTTCTTGGCACCTGTGCTGCCTCCAAACCGCGGGCAACTAAAAGCAGCTTATCAAGGGAAACCACTCTATACTCAGGGCGGGCAGCAATAATACCTTTCCGTATAGAGTCTTTGATGCCCTGTACAAAGGCACCAGAAAGCATTTGGGCATGTATTTTATTGCTAAGTTCAAACCCTAGGTCAGAGAATACTTGAAAGAGCCTAGCGTGAAACCTCTCTACGGATTCACCTTTTTCCTGGACAATATCATTAAGTCCGGCTGCCTGATCAGCAAGTTTATCTTTGGCCCAAGCTTTTAGCTGATCACAGAACTCAAGTCCGGACGTATAATCAGTATCACTTGACAACCAATTAGTGCATAGGTGGCGAGCAATGCTAGGCCAGTAGGCATCTCCAGCCTTAATGGCACAGAGGCTCAGCAAATCACGCCATGCGGCGGAATAGGTCTGTTGAATCTGGACCACTGCTCTGTAAAAGGGCATAGGTTGCTTTTCTGGGTCAGGGAGTGACTTCATCAGGGCACTGGCCTGTGTTGGGTTAAAGGTAACATACATTACGGGGGCTTTGTCCCCTTGAACCTTGCGACCAAAGGGATCATTAAGAGAACGTCGCGGAGGTTGGGGCGAAACCTCCCTGGAGTCTGGTGGGGACTGGTAACCATGGGAGCTTACCGTGTCAAATTCATCTGCATGTGCTATCCGGACTCCCGGGGATGGAACTACCTGTGGTGACAGGGCCGGGGGTAGAAGGGGCACTCCACAAGCCGGGGCTGCTGGTGAGCTATGGGTTGGAGGTAGCAGATCATTCGGAAGAACAGGCATAAGAGGGGCTATGTTACTGGGGGACGCCATATTGGAGGCGTGGAAGGAAGTTGCGC